CTGACTTGGAGGCGAAGGGAAGGGAGAGGGGGGGAAAGACTGGATCCCAGGTGCTTCTGTCTGTCAGAGGGGCTGGTGCACCCTTCCGGTGATGTCAGGGGGTGTGCCATATGCTAATAAGTTATGCTAATGAGCTCCTGCAGCTCTTTTTCTACAAAATGACCCCTGGGACTAAGTATTCATGAGTACATACCATTCCTGTCCAGATCTGCTCACTGTCACCCAGGTAGGGTTGCCAAGTCTCACCTTGTTCCGGAGCGCAGGACTCCCGGATTGATCCCAGAGAGCGTGTGCGCCGCATCCACGTCACCAGGAAGTGACATGACGACACTGGGCACGCTGGGGGCGGGGCCACGGCCATCCAAGGGAAAACCATAGAGTTTTCCCTCGGATGACTGTGGCCCCGCCCCCAGCGTGCCCCGCGTGGTCGCGTCACTTCCTGGTGACGTACACATTGGGATGGAGTTCCCCCCGGGGCCCGATCCGGCGGCGGCAGGGAACGGGCCTCTGGGGTGGGGGTTTCCCCGCCCCCCGGGGTGACTTGGCAAGCCTACACCCAGGCTTAATTTAGACTCAACACAGTGCTCCCTATTGCAGCACAAATCCAGTCTCCATCAAACCCTGCCTCCTCAATGCCCATGGGAAATCAGCAGGCGGTTTTCCTGCCCATGGTGCTTTGTTTCTGGTATGTACTCTCCTGTTCTTACTGCATTTGCTTTCACGTCTTTGTGATCTAGTTTTGCTGCATTGTTGTATGCCGTATCCTTTTACTGCATCATTTTGTAATATTGTAATCACGTTGTCCTGCATTGTTGCGTGTATACGGTTTAATCACATTTCAAAAAATTGTAATCTGCCTTGACTCTCAGAGAGAAAGGCCAACTAGAAAAGAAGTAAATAAATAAATGTCTTGACCTGGATGGTCCAGGCTAGCCTGATATTGTCTGATCTCAGAAGCTAAGGCATGGTAAGTACTTGGATGGGAGACTGCCAAGGAAATCCAGGGTTGGTATGCAGAGGCAGGCAATGGCAAACCACCTCTGAACATCTCTTGCCTTGAAAACCCTACAAGGTGTTACAAAATAAGAATGAAAAGGTACACAAAAAGAGATGGGAAAAAATTTATAATTGGATACAAATACAGGCAGAAAAGTAATATCCCCAATTGACAGAATATAATGAAAGGGGAAAGACTCTGATATCTAGGTTTATGTAAACGAAATGGATGGAATGTACGTGTATATTTTTGTAAATAAAAATAAAAATATTTAAAGAAAAGAAAACCCTACAAGGTCGCCATAAATCAGCTGCGACTTGACGGCACTTTCTACCACCAAATAAATAAAAACTGTTTTGGTCTCTTCCACCAGGTTGAGAGCTGGAACAAACACGACCAGAAGCTTTTGGATGCGGTCGAGAAAGGGGACGTGGGGAGAGTCTCGGCTCTCGCTTCCAAGAAGACAGCAACCCCCACTAAGCTTAATGCCTTGGGACAATCCGCGTACGTAAGTTTTTCCTGTCCCATAATCCCTCTTGCTTTCAAGAGAGCTGCCATCTTGGACGATGCCCAGGTCTTTATTTTCTATTTTATTTTTTTAAAAAAGAGGTGCTGGAACTCTCAAGGGGGAAATGAAGTCTTCAATCTGTATATCGAAAACTCATGAATTTTTAAACATTTAAAAAAGAATTTTGTCAAAGAGGTTCTGGAACTCCGTTCTGGTGCACGCTCCCAGAAAAAAAAGCCCTGACGATGCCCTTCCGTTCCGACAATCTGTGTTTTAGGGGGTGTTGAGCGGTGGCTCAAGTGGTTAAGACGCTGAACTGCAGGCTGTGGAAGGTCAGTAGTTCAGCAGTTCGAGACCCGGGTGCCGCATGATGGAGTGAGCTCCCATCTCTAGTTCCAGCTCCTGCCAACCTAGCAGTTCGAAAGCAAGAAATTGCAAGTAGATAAATAGGTACCACTTCGGTGGGAAGGTAACAGCGTTCCGTGCCCCTTGGTGTTTAGTCGTGCCGGCCACATGACCACGGAAATGTCTTCGGACAGCGCTGGCTCTTCGGCTTTGAAACGGAGATGAGCACCGCAACCCTAGAGTCGGATTCGACTGGCTTTCAAGCAAGGGAACCTTTACCTTTACCTATTACCAAGCAGTCTGATCAAACCTCGGCTGCTATGTTAAGTCAATAATCATTTTGATGGGTTAAAAGGGTTGTCCCTAAATAGTTGGACAGCAGACCTTCTTTTTAAAGTTTTAATTATTTTTAAAGCAAATACTTAGTAAATCCATGGGTGGTTCCATTTTGTAAGATTAATTCCCCCTTTTCTCTTGCACCAGTGGAAATACTTCTTCTGAGATGGTATCTGCTTATGACACATGCTGCAACATCTGAAAGCAAATAAACCACTCCTTTTTCTTTAGAACTATTTATTTAGCGCAATGCAAAATTATATAGATTTAACAGAGTGAGGCTCATGTGACAAATCAAGTGAAATGTCTTTAACCAGGTGCCTTTCCCAGCCATAGCCCATTTATGTGATAGTCTTTCATGCATCTTTAAATATATCCCACCTGTTTGGTATATGGGACTCTCCCCTACCCTTACTCAAGGATGTGCCTCGTGAACATCTCCTATGGAAAATCCCCATGTCATGAGTGCTTTAAGAGAATGGTTATTATCATGTGATAATCGCAATGGCTTCAAAAGTTACATGGCTGTGAGGATCTGGCATTCTCCTTCAACACAGCTCCAGGATATCACTACTTTTACAGTGGATATATGTTTGGAATATAATTAATAGGGTAAATATCTTTTTTTTTTTGCATTTGTGTGTGTGTGCCCATGCCCATAAGTCATGGCAACCTCTGGCAACTCCTACTGGGGCATGGAGGATGTTCAGAGAAGTAGTTTGATAACCTGCCTCTGCCTCCTGGCCCTGGTATTCTTTGGAGGTCTCCCATCCAAATACTTGCCAGGGTCGGCCCTGCTTAACGTCCGAGATCTGACAAGATCAGGCTCGCGTGGACTATCCAGGTCAGGGCAATAGGGTAAATATTTGATGGGAGGGAAGGTGGCATGGTATAGCACGATCTCATCTCATCTCAGAAGCTAAGCAGGGTCGGTACTTGGATGGAAGACCACCAACGGAGACTCTGTGGAGAAAGGCAATCACCTTACTCACTTGCCTTGAAGGCCCTTCGATGGGGTTGCCATAACTCAGTTAACATAAGAACATAAGAGAAGCCAGGGGTCATTTAGTAGAAAAAGAGGCGCAGGAGCTCATTAGCATAACTTATTTGCATATGCCACACCCCCTGACATCACCAGAAGTGTGTCAGAAGGCAACACCCACCACTCAGGCTCCAATAGACTGTTTTGGATTGCTAGCTATTGGGGGGGGGGGAATGTGCAGATCTGTCCTTGCAGAGGAGGGAGAGCTTGTACCTGAATAAAACTTGAAGGTGCCACTGGACTGTTTTGGACCGGGGGGGCAGTGGGGGGCTCTGCAACTTACCTGGCTGCTTCTTGCTCTGACTGAGTGCTGCTGGGAGAAGGGGGTGGGGCTTGTTGCATGTGCCCGCCCCCTGGGCTCTTTACTGCCGGAGCTCCGCTCCTGTGGGCTCCTGCAGGAAATGACCCCTGAGAGAAGCCAATGTTGGATCAGGCCAATGGCCCATCCAGTCCAACACTCTGTCACACAGTGGCCAGAAATACGATCAGGAGGTCCACCAGTGGGGCCAGGACGCTAGAAGACCTCCCACTATTGCCCCCTACCCAAGCACCAAGAATACAGTGCTTCGCTTGCCCCAGACTTCCTTTTACCTGTTCTAACCCGACTGTTCAGCAATTTCCTTGAGTGCCCATGAGTTCTTGTATTGTGAGAAAGGGCATGTCTGTATGTGAGGCACCTTGATGGCATGTCTGTATATATTTTTTGAAATCTTTACACTTATGGGTTCCTTTAAATTTAGCAACTCCTTTGAGCCTGAGGACCCTCACCAGGATGGCTCAAGCGAGCCTGATCTTATTAGATCTCAGAAGATAAGCAGGGTTGGCCCTGGTTAGTACTTGGATGGGAGACTGCCCAGGAAGTCTAGGGTTGCTATGCAGAGCCAGGAAATGGCAAACTACCTCTCAGTGTCTCTTGCCTTGAAAACCCCATGGGGCTGCCATAAGTTGGCTGCGAACTTGACAGCACTTTTTCCCACCACATGAACCAGAGGAATTTAAGTAGACTCCATAACTGGTTTGCGTAACTGTTTAGAGTTGACACTGGATGAGCATGGGCTAGAAGATTACCAAGATCTGGCTTTTCTCTTCCCCTGAAGGTTCCACTTGGCAGCTTCCAAGGGGCTCACAGAATGCCTTACGATCCTCCTGACTCACGGCACAGAAGTTAATGCTAAGAATGATGATGGTACGTATACATTGGATTTGTAGGGGGGAGAGATTCTAACCTACAGGAATGCGCTAGACCTCCAACATCATAGAATCATAGAGTTGGAAGGGACCTCCAGTGTCATCTAGTCCAGCCCCCTGCACAGTGCAGGAAATTCATAACTACCTCCCCCCTCACACCCTCAATGACCCCTACTCCATGCCCAGAAGATGGCAAAAAACCCAACACAACACCTCCAGGATCTCTGGTCAAACTGGCCTGGAAAAAATTGCTTCCTGGCCCCAAAGTGGTGATTGGCATTTCCCTGGGCGTGTGAGAAAGGACCATGAGAACTAAGCACTGATGCAGCCCTTCCTGCCCTCCCTCTCATGAGATGCCTAAGTTCACAGAATCAGCATTACTGTCAGATGGCCATCTAGCCTCCAAAGGAGAGCCCACCACTTCCCATGAAGCCTGTTCCACTGACTTGGAATACCACCTAGAATGGGCTCTGCTTTATTTTTTAATTGCCATTCCTTGCACAGCTGAGAGGAACCTGGACCCATCTTTTTAAAAAAAGCAAATCTCTAGTTTGGCTCTTAGCCATTAGGCTATACCAGCTCTCAGTTGCAGGACCTCCCTCAGCACACATACCCAGAGTCCACCGGGCCAAACCCTGCAGAGTTCTAGGGCTTACCTGCCTGTGTTTCGGGGAGCTGGCGTTCCTTGCCGCTGGGGTCCAAAGTCCAGGGAGGGTGGCAGTCACAGGAAAAAGACCCCACGGTGTTGGTGCAGCGCCCCAGTTTGCACACCCCAGGATCTTGGCATTCATCCACATCTATAAGTACAAACAGGAGGGCA